CAATTTCAAGGCGTTTAGAAGAGGAAGTGAGGAGAAGATAAGTTTATTTTCTATTTAAACATTAAAAACAGCATTTTAATAACAACTAAAGGTGACATAGATCCTTTATTATGGTATAGTATTTAAAATGTATGCCTGAGAAACGCATAATATCGGCCCTTTAAATAAATCATTCAGAGGTCTTAAAATTGTTTTAAACATTTTATTTATTTATATTTTTTGTTTTTGTTTTTCTTGCAGCTTGTTGGTTTGTGTTAAAATAAACATGTGGGTAAAATTGTCACTGTTTTTTTTGGTTAATTTGGTCTTAAATTTCATTTCAAGTGGCATTAAAGAGGAATAAAAAGGTCTTAAATTTAACTTGCTTTAAGCTGTAGGAACCCTGGAAGAATAAAATTGTTTTCTTTACAGAAAACATTTTTTACACTAAAATATTAAGAACATAAAAGCATTTCCAGTGCAAACTATGTTCTCCTTTACGCTAAATGAACCTGCACCAGTTGTTGGCAAAATATGTTTTTTCTGTTAACATCTCTTTAGAAATTGTTACCTGAGTTGATTATGTGCAGCTTGAGGCCTGTCGGAGCAAATGAGAGCTGACCTCCTGCCTCAGTGCAGCCTTTGTCAGCCGCAGTGTGGGCTTTGGGGCATAGCTGGTCCATTCCACTGTGTTTCCATGGTTCTGTATGGAGTCTTTCTGCCGAAGCTGAAAGGAGCCCGTTGACTGGGGTCTGAGCCGACAGGGTTAAAACAGAGTTCACACGCCTCTCACTCGGCCCGGCTGTCCTCCTCTCTGTGTCCTCTCTTTTTTTTTTGTCTTCACCATCCTGTCTTCTGTCCCCTCCACTTCTTTTGTCTCCCCGTTAGCGCCGGCATTGCCGTCGGTTTCTATGGGAACGGTGAGACTTCTGATGGAGTGAGCCGGCTGACGTATTCCCTCCGCCACGCTAACCGCACAATCACCGGAGTGCAAAAGCTGGTAAGGGCCAAGAGAGCAAACTGCACGAGCGTGTTTAATAATTCATCGCCTCCATGCCCTGGTTTCATTAAATCCCTGCGGTGAATCCCCGGTTTCTTCTCTGAACTCCATCATAACCTTGTGTTTCAAGGTAAATGACAGCACATCATCGTTAAACCAGACAGTGGACGGCAATCTGCAACAGCTTGAGGAGCAGTATGCTCAGCATGCGGACTACCTCTCCATCATCCAAAAGCTGCAGGGCCAACTGGACGAGCTGGTCAGACAGATGGTTGAGATTCCTTTCTGGGACAACAACAAGGTTTCCCTGGAGGATTTGGCCGTCAAGATTGAACTCTATGACTGGTATAGGTAAGACTGTAGTATGCTCAAACATTAGCAAATAAAAATGGACAGGATGACCAAAATATGACTTCATTTCGTGCAGAATCTTTATTTTTAAACTTCAACATGCAGGCAATTATTATATTAATATTTTACAAGCCTTTAAACACTTGCGTCCAGCAGGGCAGCAGATCTGAAGGAAAAATAATCGTGTACACTTGTAGACTTCACAACATTAATTTTTAGCATTGTTTTGAGTTTTCCAGTTTATTATAAACATATTTTTCTATTACAGGCTTGATTGTATATCATACCTAAAGTCATAAAAGTGTTAAGGCAGAAAAAAATGTCGATTTCGAAGGAAATCATAAAGATTATGATACAAATTGTTATTTTCTTAAGACATACTTGCCTTAATACCATATTTTACTTGCAGTATAAGATACTCTAATTCAGCAAGAATTTTTTCAGTTTCTGGCTTTTATTGAACTTGAAGACAAATATATCCATTTTAAAAGTAACTGAATCATTTAGTTGAATATTTTAAAACTGTTTTTAATTTTCTTTTTGCTTTTGAGAGTTTGTTTGCTGTGCTTCTGTTGACCACTTTGTTTTATTATTTTTTTTTTAAATTTCTCTCTTCAGGTGGCTGGGCTACATATCCTTACTGCTGTTTGATGTCTTTATCTGCCTTCTTGTTCTATTTGGCCTTATTCGCAACGCAAAGGGAACACTTATCGGGTGAGTCTCATCATGAAATAATAATAATAATAATAATAATAATAATAATAATAATAATAATGCAACCAATTAATGATAAAAACCATGAATTTGTTGAAATGCAGATACAGAGAGAATGTGTTCGTGTGTTTCTTATCAAAAGCAAAATATCTGCCAGAATTTCAAGGCTAATCAAGGGCTACGTTCACACTGCAGGCCAATGCGACCCAAATTTTTTTTCCCCCATGGGACCCATTTCTGATTTTTTTTTTTAAATGACGTCTGAATGTGACAAATCAGATTTTTTTTTCCAAATCCGACCCAGACCTTTTCATTATGTGGTAATGAATCAAATACATAGCTTGTGTTTTTCAAAGCGACTGCAGTCTGAACAGTCATGTCATTTTCCATCTGATTTTTTCATCAGTGAGATGGGGGTGAAGGATCGATAAGACAGTACCCTCGAGTCACACTGTTTAAATCAGTAGCTCCACATATTTACAGCTCCAAAACAGAAGTCCTGTTGCTTCGTCTTTTTACTTTTAATTTTCCACATGATAGTAACGTCCAGCCTCGGTCGCGGAGCGTATCAATCCCAAAGTTACTCYGTCGATACTTTATTTCCAGCTTGTTGCTTCAGTCCAAACATAAAATGCTTCACCGGAGCATCCCGATCAGAGGCAGGTTGAAATATAAACACCAAACTAAACAAGCATGTCAGATGATTATTTAATCGGTTCGACATAAACGTAGCATCCATGCTAACTCTGTGACACGTCTTTTCTCCGCATGCGTGTCACATCAGTGCCATGTAGAGTTCACACTGGAGTCATGCAGGTCGCATTTAAAATGTAACGTGAACGTTCACGCCAAAAAATCAGAATTTTTTTTATTATTTTTTTTTCAAAAAAATCAGAAATGAGCATTAAGACCTGCAGTGTGAACCTAGCCAAAGCGATCATAAAAATGTCACAACTCCTTTAGAAAGAAATCAAACCACATTGTTTTCTGTAATCCTTTCAACGTAACCATCTTAAGGCTCTCTTATTTTACCATAAGGCTGCAGATCAACTGCACTTCTGACCTCCTCTTATTTCCTGCAGAGTGTGCCTGTTTGGTGTAGTGGCTCTTATCATCAGCTGGGTCTCTCTGGGGCTGGAGTTGGCTGTCTCTGTGGTAAGTTTATGCATCCAAAACAATCCTGGTTTCACTGTAGTGCTGCCTGTTTTATTGCACGTAATGGCTAATGAAGTTATTTTGCTCATCGGTACAAACCGTGAAGTCGAATGCACTGATGGGTCATGAAAATATAAAACTATTGTGTGGTTTCACAGCCATACAACTAACTGAACCATGATTTATGGGGAAATGTTTCAGATAAAACAGATTCATTGCAGTGTACATCTGTGTTCTTTTTTTTCCAGTCGGATTTTTTCAGAAATCCTCCAGAAGACTAATAATAGTGATTAGGATGTGATGTGGAGCATTATAGCTGTGATTAGGACTAGTCGTGCTGTTGGAGGAGAGAACAGTGAAACAAGAGCAAAGTAAAGCATCATAAACCCAGATTTGTCTGTTTACATTATTTGAACAGCACTGTGTAGGTTTACAGCTATGAAAATGTTGATTAATTCTAATCATTTATGCGATTTGAAATGTAAGATTTCCTCCCATGCAGATGACTCAAACTGTTCACACGTATGAGTTTTTATTCCTCTCCTTTTTTAGTTTGAATGTTTTTTTTTTTTTTTTCAGTTGAGATTGAGGCTTTTTTTAACTGAAATTATCACTTATATTAATGTTTAATTAGATGTGTTGGTGCATTTACTGTCATGTTTCCATCAGTGTATGATTTAATAATGAAGCCAGGGCGTGGTCTCCATTTAGGTATCGATGTTTTTGTGTTTTTCAGGGCTCCAGTGACTTTTGCTTCGCTCCTGATACATTTGTTACCAAAGTGGGCAATCAGTATGGATTAGTCAATCACGGTATGATCCTTTTGATTTGGTTTCATTCAAAAACGTGCATCAAAGATTCAGTTTGCTTTATAATTATAAATACAAGTCATCTCAGATTAAACTGGTTATTATGAGTTACTCTGCATTTCTCTCCCGCTTTGGGTCTCAATGCTTTCATTGTTGTGCAGAAGTCAGAAGACGTGTTAAAGAAAGCCAGACTTGACTTTTATGCTATGGTTCATAAAAAGCCTCTAAAAATTGCTGCCACATCCGCAGCGAGGTCAGGAGGGCATCGGGCTGCCCTTTTTAAGCAGCACAGAAGCCTGTTTTGCTCATTTTAGTAATTTTCCTATCCGTTCCATGATGGGATGCATGTCAGAAGCAGGGAAAAAAAAGAGCCTCCGGTTTGTTGGGTTTGTGTACGACGGAGATAAGAGCAGTGAAGCAGAGGATCAGAAAAACAGTATATTTCCTGTATCCGTCCACAGGCCTTTGAGAGAAGATGGTGCTTGAAAATACAACGCTGTGCTCTCTTACTGCCATTTTTCAACATCAGCTCAACAAAATAAGCTTCTTTTCTGCTCTCTTCTGTAAAATATGATTTTAGATGAATACAAGCAAGCAGAATTTAGGAGATTAATTTTAAATATTACTGCTTAATATAACGCTTTGAAACTGTATTTAGCACACAGAATTAATGCAAATGGCAAAATAATTAAATACAGGAAGTTTTATTTCAAAGGTACATTGTATTTTGTCTTTAAAGGGGACTTTCAAAATCCACTTTCTTAGCTGTTAAACACATTTTATTGTACTCGGAGACTCTTGGAGTGCAGAAAATTAGAGTTTAGTCTCTCCCTGTGCTGGGTATATATCTTTATACTTTGTTTGGGTCATATTTTTAAACTCGTTCAGTTTTTTTTTCTATTTTCCATTATGTTTTTTGAACTATGGCACATTATTTGCAACAGAACTGCCATATTCGTAGTTTTTATTCTCCTGCTGGGTCAGACTCTGGCTCCAACATGTAAGGCTGGATGAACAAGTCTTCTCTTGTTGACATCTTTCAATTAAATTGTAAACAAAAATTTCTGTGCCACTATATAGTCATAAACCCCTCTATCAAACTAGAATGGACCGCTTTGGGAGCTGGAAGGAGGCAAGATGTGAAGCGCCTCATTTGGATTTAAAGAGAGAGCCTCACAACGAGTTGATCTGAAACACAGCTCAGAAAAGTGGTGGATAGGGGGGCTTGTGGAGTTACAATAAGGAGGAATTCAGACCAAAGCATTGCAGTTCCACTTTATAAACACCCCCAACTGAATGATGTGAAAAAGACCTATTTAAAAGCATTTGTCTCCTTTAAGAGTTGATTCTATATTCTGTGGAAAACCTGTTCCTAGCTCTGTGATGAGTTATCTTTTGCTCAGGAAATCTGTTCTCCTGATAACGGTTGATGGTTGTGGGTGGACTTGTTAGAACAGGACTGAGATGGGACTTTTCACGTTGTGTACTTGTATGTACTTTGTCTGTGCCGGAAACCCTCTCGTCATCCTCAGCTACGGGGGGGGTGGCTCCTGACTCAGCACTGAGTCTGGACGTCACCAGCACCATGTGTCGGGTCGGTGGTGGCGTTCTCACAGCTTGGATTTGTGTTGCAGTACTTTTGAGTCAATCGCTCACACATTAAGGATTTCTCATTGACGACGACTCCGCTGCCACGAACGAACCGACGTGAGCGGGAACAGCAGGAGAGAGTTTAAACCTCTAATAATTACAGTCTTCTTTGGATCACTGTGAGCAGGGTGCAAGTTTAGTCTTGTAATTTAAACATAACAGAGGTGACGTAAGAGGCGGCTGTGGGCAACAAGAGACTATTTTTGCACCTTTCATTGTGTTTTTTCTTTCCTTTTAATGTGTTCAGACGTTTTATTGTAGTGCTGCAGTTTTTCCTGCTTTACTCTTTTAGAACATGTCACTTCAGCTCAGAATTATTCCATACTGCAAGGTAGCAGTCAAGCTGTGACGAGGCAGCAGGAATCATAAAAGCACAGCACTGGATGAAAGCGAACAGAATGTTTTGTATCAGTTTTTTGTGTGCAAAACTGTAACAACAGAACAAATTACTCAGGGCAAGCAGGGCACAGTCATACATGGGAGATAGAGGTAAAAGACAAAAGACTTAATCAACATTGAATAAAAGTGAAATGAGACTTTTCAACTTTGCATTTATAGAAATTTMCAGGGACTTTTCACTTCATTTATTGTTTTGACACTCTCTCACTTCTTAAATGGTTATCTTTTGTCCGTAGAAGGCAGCTGTATTCAGTCTGAAAAGTTTGAAAATTCCTCTTTGTGCTTTCAGTTTTTTAAGAGTTTGTTCCTTTAACATCATTTCTGCTCTTGAACACAGTTAGAAAAGACTCTACTTGTATTTGAATGTTTTGGTGTGTTTTTTTTATTCATCACTTTGCTTATTAGTATTAGTTTTTCCAACCTTGTCAGTTTACTCTTAGAGTTTATAATAAAACATTTATAAACACTTACTTGATGTTTAATAGAATACACAACTCAAACTGTTGAATTTTCAGATTATTGCATAGTAGAAGCTTGTTTCAGRAACCACCTTTAGCTCTTTTAATCTTCTTGTTTTCTGTTTCTGTTCCTCTCAGAAATCCTGCAGTACTACATTGGTTGCGGTTTGGACCAACCTAACCCCTTCCAACAGGTTTGATATTGCATGTTTTGTTTTTACACATGACAAGAGGCCATGTTTTACTAAAATAAAATGATGTGCATAAAACTTATACGGTGAGTTTGTAGTTGGTAGGAATGCCAGTAAGCATCATCATTAGGTCACAGTGTTTCAAAGTTCAACTCCATTTCCGTGCAGAAGTACAATGTTTTGTATTATGTGAAAGTGTTGAGGCTACTGCTTGGATTCACATGTTTTTAAAGGTTGTACAGAAACACTGTAGTGTGCTAAATATTTGTTTTCAGTCTCAATGTGTGCACAAAAACAGAGTTAAGTGGCTAAAACAAACAACAATAAGCGTTCCTCTGGAAGTGGTCAGGTACAAGGACTGGGCTGAAAATTAGTAAATAAAGCAGCCAAAGAAGTGCTTTCAGAAATCCTAAAGAAATTCTGCTCATTACACCTTTTTAAAAATATTTAAAAAATTTTAAGCTGGCCTCGGAAAGAAAATATAAAGAGAAAAGTGGTGGCCTAAGACTTTTGCACAGTACTCTTGGAGTCCACTCTCGTCGTGAAAATGCTTTTCTTTAATGGGCATTCTCCATTTTAATATTCAAGCCACATCAATAAGTTAAAACCTGTGAGTGCTCCTGAAGCTGAAGGCATCTATTGTTGGTTCCAGCGTAAATATAGAAACCTTTCAGCTCGTACCTGCCAACTACACGGTTTCACTGCAGCACATTAGCCCAAACTGAAGACAGCTCCTTCGAAGTTCTTGTGCTTATTTGAAGAAAAAAAAATATATAGAAATGTCTAAAAAAAAGCTGAACTGCAACAACATCCATGCTCTTTTCAGAGGCTTTCCGGGAGCCACAAAGCTTTAGTGGAGATGCAGGACGACGTGTCTGAGCTGCTGCGCTCTGCTACCAGAGAATATAAACAAACTAAGGTATGTTTTCATCCATGTAGTCCCACATTACAGATTAGCTGTAACGATTTTCAGTGACAGAATAGCACATCGAGTGCAACCTGTCCGACCTGGAAAGTGGTGAACCGCGCCTGTCCATGTTCACATCTGCTGGCGGCCCACCTGGGACGCAGCATCAGTCTTTCACTGGCCCACAGCAGCTCTGCTTCTTGCCCTGTGTTGACGGAGGCATAAAGGAGAGCTGGTTCTGGGAGCAGCGAGTGGCACGTTTCTCTTTGCCGGAGAAATTTGCTGAGGTCGAAGAAACTTTTCTTTCATGCAGATTTAAAATGTTGACTAGCGTAAAAAACCAGAGGCGCCAAAATTATCAAATTAAAATCTGCTTTTCAGCTCTACTTTCTGCGTGCCTGCTGCATATTTATAATATATTAAAATATATTTCTGATTGATGTACATTGAATGACTAATCAGTGAGTGAATTTCTATTAAACTGTCACTTTACATTTTCTTCTTTTAAGTTCATGGTCATGAGGCAGAAAATTGTTCTAAATTTTCTTATTTACTCTGATTTGTACTGATTTGTTTTTAATGGATGGTTGTTCCAACAATGCAACACTGACCGACTGTGCTTTAGCGTTTTCAGCTGTACAAATTGAGTATTTCCTTTCCCTTATCCCCAGGAGAGTTTGGAGGAGATTCAGGAAATACTGAACACCACAGAGATCAGCCTTCATCAGCTCACTGCACTCGTGGACTGTCGCAGCCTGCACATGGTGAGCAGAAACCAGAGAGGATTTACAAASTCAGCCGCTGCAGCGTTGTTCAGTTTGAAAAGTGGGGGGCCGGACAACTGATTCGTTCAGACATTTTTGTTTTTAAAAACAGCAAAGTTACATAAAGCAGCCCATCTCTGATGCTCGTGGAGCTCACACACCTGTCACTCTAAATAACATTTTACTCCCTGTATCCAGATCCGTGTCCTGCTGATAACCGGCAATGTTTCATGTAAGAAGCTGGCAGAATGTAAAGTAGTTTGCAACCGCTTTATCCTTGAAGGGCCGTTCCCCAGAGTGTCCAAAATTCAAGCGAGGACGTGCAAGTGTTGCACTCTCTGCTTACGCGCTGCTCTGATTTTTCCTGCTTCAGAAAACCACAGTAATTATTCATGTTTCTCTGGACCGTGTTCAGCTGCGGTTTATTTCCCAGCTTTGTCGTACGCGGTGAATGGAAATTATCAGTCATGATAATGAGGCATTTAGTGCATTGTCTCTAGTTCACCTGAGAGCAATTTGTTGTTAGCTAGTTTAATTGAAAATACCACTTTTCCCAATCTATGTCTTTGATATAATCAGTTTTTAAACGTAAGCTTATTTTTTTACACAATAATATTGTGACCCATCATATCCAAATGAGGATTAAGTCAAATTTGGTCAAAATGACCTCATCACATTTTCAGATTCCTGGTTTGATACCTGGATCATTCTGATATCATAAACGGAACCAGTGACATGCCTTCATTTGTCTTGTTGGTTATGATAATACATTAATATTTGGTCTGAATCCTAATTTTATGTAATTTTTATGAGGAATTTTTCATTTCATTATGAAGAGGAAATCTCAAATAGTATTTAAATATTGACATTTCCCAGCTGGAAAGAAGCAAAAACTTTGCTCACAGGGAAAATCTCAAAATTAAAAGGCATTTTTAAAAAAATTTTTTTTTGTCGTTGCTACTGCTTAAAAAGTGCTTCAATAATTTTTATGATTATATGTCACACAGTTCATTCAAATGAAACATTGATAAGGCATTTATTTGTTATATTTTGGACAAAATGCAATTTTTGTAAGTGTTTTTTATTAAAACAGTATATTTGCCTGTTTCTCCATATACCACTTTTAGATTTGATCCTCGTTTCGATGTCGTGGGTCACATTTTAAATGTTTGCATGTTGCAGGATTACGTCCAGGGCATGACAGGTTTATGTTACGATGGACTGGAAGGCCTCATCTACCTCGTGCTCTTCTCCTTCGTCACAGCTCTGATGTTCAGCTCGATTGTCTGCAGCGTTCCTCACACCTGGCGAGGCAAGCGGTAAGATGTCCAGCACTCTCATCGAACGCTCACTCCACCACCCCAATAAGAGGGTGTTAAAGTCCAAAGGCTTTCATGCCATGTTTGTATTCAGGACTGTAAATTCACTGAGAAATAATTCAAGAAAAGCCTATTAATTATTCATACATTTCTTTAAAGCTTTGATGTTTTTTTTTATTTATCCCAGAAATGCAGAAAAGTGATCGTAAGAAATTAAAACCTAGGATTTTTTTTTTCCTTCTCAAAAGCTAATTACGTTTACCCACATGACAGGTCCAAAAGACTCCAGCTGCTTCTTCAAATACATGAGTTTGTTTTCTTTTCTAATGGTGCCGCGTTGGCCTGCCTATTGTAACAACCCCCACCCCCCGTCTGAGCTGCTGTTTTCTACATAACAGCCAAATCATTTCAGCTTCTCTTTTTACTCCCAAAAGCAACATATGATGTCTGCGGGGTGACTTCAATGGAAGCAGTTTTCTAAACACAGCTTTCAGCTCAGCTTCTCCACATCATTAGCTTACCACTCCTTATCATCAGGGAGGAGGGGGTGGCCATGTTCATTAGTTTGATCTCAGCCGGCACTTCCTGCTACAAAGCTAAAGCTTGCACACTAACAGTCTATTTCAGTGTCTCCAGCTGTGTTTGAGTTTTTTTTTTTTCAATGCTTTTGTAATGAGGCAAGCAAACTCATCCCATCTGCTATTCCAGCTCAGAAACTAAATTAATATAATAATTTATGCCTAAAGTTTATATCACTCAAATATTACTACTAGTATTGTTTTTAATAATATAACCTTTTCTGAAATATAAACACAAAAACAAACATGAGGATGACATCATCGGTGGAAATTAGGCTGTCTTTGTTCTGAACACTAGAGGGCGACAGGCTCCGTTCTGGCAGAACATATTAAATGAATTATAGTTGTGTGGCAGACACTGCTGACTTTCATTGTTTAGAAACAAGCTAAAGTAATTACAATCTGTCTCCAGGGTAAGCCAGCTCATGTCCTTTTGCCAGTTAAAAGCTTTTATTGGACAAAGCAGCATTAAAGCTTTTTTTTAGTTCAACAAATTGCTTTAGTTTGTTTTTACACTTGGTGCATTTAACTGAACCTTAGTGCTGTCAGACAGCAGCAGATCTTTTTTTAAGGCAGTGATGAAATTAACTAAAGGAAAAAAATGACCTTGTGGCATTTTTATTCTCCTTTTGACATCTGTGAGACAGATCAGTAGGTCCCTCTGGTGGTTGTTTGATGGTGTTGTGTTTGCAGGAGCGATGAAGACAGCGAAGACGAGTCTCTGAGCCACGGAGGAAGGCAAAACCATGACAGCCTGTACCGGGTCCACATGCCCAGCCTGTACAGCTGTGGCAGCAGCTACGGCAGCGAGACCTCCATTCCTGCCACCGCCCACACCGTCAGCAACGCCCCTGTCACAGAGTACATGTAAGACTCCACCTGCTGACACAACAGGAAGTGGTGGATCGTTCTGCACCATGAGACTGAGCTTCGATCGTCTGTGTTGTTGAGAACAAGTTTAAACGTCCCCAAAGAGGAGATTAGTCCTCCCAAAGTCTGCAGATGCAGCTGTTGTTTTCCAGTTGTGATGTCTGTGAAACCCGAAGCTCTCTGAAGCTCGGCGTTAGTGAAGCTAGGTGGGGAGGGGTGACTCGGTTTCTGGCTCTGCGAAAACCTTGGTGACTGGAAAATTTAGGACATTTATATCTGTGAAATTAACTTTGAGGTTTTTGTGTTTGATCTCTCTGTACGTTTCATTCAACAGGGCTCAGAACTCCAACTTCCAGAACTCTCGCTGTGAAAACACGCCTCTGATAGGCCGAGAGTCTCCTCCTCCTTCAGTAAGTTTGACCTTGTTTTTTTTCTCTTTCTTTTTCTTTTTTTGGTTTGGTTTTTAAGTGTTGGAGCATCCTTCAGTCGTTATTTTCAGGAACTATGTTACAGGAACTTATAAACTAAATCAGATTATGACCAACCAGACAACTTAAGTTTCACTGTTCCTTTTAAAAAAGAACCTTACAGCGTGCTGTGTGTTTTATTCATCCAATCCCACTAAAATCAACAAAGTTACTTGCTTTAGTTCCTGTCTTGGTTCCATGAAAGTGTTTCTCCTGTAAGAGTGATTTAAATAGCATTGAACACTGTTGTTTATTTAAAAAAAGTTGTTTTGTGAACCAATAATCCTCAAAACACTAAATCTCTGAACTGGTGATTTTATTCTATTTGCATGTTTTAATGTTTTACTGACACTGAGCTCCATCGCTGAACATAAAGAAAAAGTGGGAGGTGTTATTTATTTCCTATAAAACAGGTTGTAAAATTAGTTTTTTTTTTTTAATCTGAGTGTTTTTATATAAAGAGCCCATCTCAGTCAACCCAGCCTCCCCCCTCAGGCCTGATCCTCTAGAGACCCTGCTCTCCCTGGTGTCTGTGTGTCTGCTCGGACCTCGACGCTGCTTTGTGCATCTTCTCTATACTCTCTTCTTGTCATTCTCTCTCTGCGAATCCATCCAGTTGTATTTGACTGCCGCGGACAGTAACAGCGGTCACTGCTGGCAGTTAAAGCCCTCGGAGAGTTCCAGATCGTTTTGGTAACTCCATCTGCTATACTAACAGGTACATTTAAAAAAAAAAAACATGTCCGCTTGCTCCTCCTCTGTTTCACCCCCGCCCAACTCCTGGCTCTACTGACCCCCGGGGCTGAGGGGACCCCTCCCCCCTCCCCTCACCCCCGGCCTCATGTACTACTCCCTCTTTGCCCTAATGTCCTACCTGATGTCTGATCTGATGTTTGTATCCCATCGCCCTGCGCTGCATGTTGGCCTGCCCCTCCCCCCAACCCCTCCACCTTTGCACCAAAAACATACTGGGAGGAACGTCCTGATGCATCTCAGTAATCTAGGTAGAATTTTTTTTTTAAATGAAGTAGGTCCTCTGGACGGGTTCTGCTTTTATGAAATTGTTAAGTGCCAGGACTGTGACCAGTTATACAGTTATACATTGGGGAAACAAAGCAGCCACTTTTCAAAAGAATGGTCCAACACAGAAGAGCTGCATCATCAGGCCATGATTCTGCAGTTTGCACTCTTCTACAGGCCAGCGGTCACTCTTTCAGTGATGAAGGCGTTCTCATCCTTGATAGAGAGGAACGCTGGTTTGAGAGAGGAGTAAAGGAAGCCATCTTTGTGAAGAAAAACCYTCTATCATTATACAGAGGTGGAGGCCTCCGTTTTCAGTTGTCCTCCTCCTACAARGCTGTTATTGCAAGTATGACTCAGCCCCCTGTGAACAAAAGGTGATAATTGGGGTCTTAATGATAGTCAGGTGGTTGATGCGCATGATCCTCTATGAACAATAGAGACAACCAGGGCTCGAACAATCTGATGTTAGACCGAGTGTTCACTTTTGCAGATGTACAACAGTGTTGATCGTTATTAAACCTGTTTATACACCATGTGGAGGCAGTGCTAATAAGGCTTAGTTCACCTGAAACTCCTCAGACTGAAGAAGTCTCTTGGAGGAGAGAGAAAACATTTCATTAAAGAAGAACCCATCCAGAGGACCTACTTTTATTATTATTTTATTTTATTTATTTATCTTTATTTTTTAAATTTATTATTATTATTTGTATCTAGAGGAAGATGTGAAGCTGTGAATTTGTCAGCCAGTGGCACCAGTTTTTTAGGAGCGGCGTCAAATAATAAAGCTTTTGATGAAATTTGAGGATCATGTGGACTTGATTTGTCCTTACTGTTGTGGGGGAACTTGTTGGAGGTTCTAGTAACATCTTTTTAGGATTTTTTTGAACTGGACTGGTGTACTTTTGTAGTTGTCTCCCATATCATTTAACAATGTACCTGAAGCTAAAGAAAGATCACTTGCCAGCAAAAATATGGATGTCTTTTTGTGGAGAGCAATGGGCCCACTTTTAAGGCACCCGCTCATATAGGTTCTTTATCCATCCTCAGTCACCATAAAGTTATCTCCTGTCATTTAAGTCAAAGTCAAGATGGATCTTATTCATTCTCAAAAGTGCTTCTTTCTCATGTGACAAGCCTGGAGCCTCACCTTATTGTCCAGTTGTGTCGCAGCAAACTGAATCAAGCAGGAAGCACTTTCTTTATTTATTTATTTATTAGAATTTTTTTAATCAAGTCAGAGGCAAACGACAAAACGAGCTGCACTGTTGTAGGAAAACGTCCGTCATCACGACACTCGCATGCTTCTCACAACCTGGGTTCAATCAACCAAATAACACTTAGCACACATTTGTAGAAATCAGTAACAAAATAGTTGAATCGTTTAAATTGTGTGCTTTTCATTTGTATTTCCTCTAAAATAGAAAAAAAACACAGATGAGCAGCAGCAGCTAAACTGAGCTGTATTTGTTGGATTTTTAGACTTATTATGGGGTTAGATGTTTTTTTTTTTTTTTTAGATGTCGCAAAAACAAAATTGTTCTGGACAAATTATGTGATGACATCATTTTTAAGTGTAATGTTTAAAAAAAATCTAATTGACTTTGGGTTTGGCTGTAGGACATAATACTTGTTGACATTTCCTGTCCAGAACAATTAAACTGATAAAGGATTCAAATAATAATTACAGTATTTGTAATAATAATAATAACAATAATAATAATATATATTGGGGTTCAACAATACATGTACCCATATCAAACCGTATCGAACAGTGCTTTAGGTTCAATTAGAGCTGGGCGATATGATCAAAATTTTATATCACGGTGTTTTCAACATTTTCTCCTGTTTCACGGTATTTGACGGTATTTTTC